AGATATTTGCTATTGAAACCGTATTGAAAATTGTCTTCATCTTCCAGGGGGTCATAGCTAATCCGCGCACTTCTTAGGCGATATTTCAAGTCCTGAAACTCTTTGTTATTGTAAGGTTTGCAGTCCGATTTCTGTTGAGTGATATGTTGGCATTTAGTTGGAGAAGCGCTACATTTATTGCAAGAAGGCAGTAACACAGATAAATAGAAAAGGAAGAAAGGACCCAGAACGTAGTGATAAAAGTCACTGGAAAACAGTCTGCCTGTGTTTTATCCTAAGCTGTATACACAGAAAATGCATTCAAAAATTTTTTTTTGTCTACCCACTGTACCTGCCATTTCGAAAAATTTTAATAAAGAAGGAGAAATACATTTCGAGGAATACAATAAATTTGTATACTAAATTACCAAAAACGTATCAAGCTCATTTACTCCAGCTAATATGTGCTCAAGTAAGGAGTTTTATTCTGCTAATTCCTGCCACTTATTCCTGTTAATTCACTTTTTATAAGTGGCTCTTTCTTGGTGCAAAATAGCGCAAGGAAATTCGGAAAAGAGAGAGGGAATTTGTAATAGTAGGCCGAATTAATCAGCTGTCATTTTGCGTTTTAATTGGAAAACAGTACTGTTACCATTCTAAAGAAATATTTTGAAATCCCTGACTGGAAAATAGCTGAGAGATAAGGCCAGTGATCGAGACCGGGACAAGCTTACTTCGATAGCCTGGCTGGAGACGTTGACCAGAACTGGCATGATGCGCTCATCGTCCTCCCTTTTCTTTCCACTACCAAACCATCCATCAGCGGCAATGGTCGGCTAAAAATAATCAGTTCAGCTAAGCAAACGCTAAGCAACTGTGACAAGTAACTGCTAAAGTCAACAAATTCAAGAAGTAAGCGGAAAAAAGTTTAAACTTGTTTTCGTGTGTTCTGCTCAAATTGTCCTGTCTCTGTTTTTACACATGCGCACATGGACAACTCTGCCTGAACAAAGCACAATGAGGTAGTTAGTGATGCCCTTTGATTTACCTCACTCTCTGTACACTTCTATTTTTCACGCCTCAGACTGAAGGGCCCGGGCATGATCCCAAGATGTATGTTTTACCCTACATATTAGATCTTTCTTTCTTTCTCTAAAAGTTAATTCTTTCTACTCATTTCTTCCTTCACTGCTAGGCAGTTAGGCTCTTCCTGGAATGGACTATGATCAGATCGTTCAAGGAAGCACTTTTCAGTGTCATTCGTTCGTTGGCAAGCTTTAGAGAGTTAGTCTTCGTATAAACTTTTGCATTGAAAGATAGTGATTAGCAGAAGCAGGTGCTTACCTACTTTTCAAGGCGCACAACATTTTTTGTTTTTATAAGGAAATTAAAGAAGTTAAAAAAATTTTCCAAGGTCAGAGCCAGAATCTCCTCCATCGTTCATTCTCGATGAAAGGCAAGCATTAGAATGTGGCAGGAGTGGTAACACAGCAAGTATCGGCTGGCAAACCTGTCTATGGTTTTCTCTTTTGGTAGTTGCTTAGAAGCAAGCTGAGGGCAGTCTGGCATGCCCCAGTACCACTTTGCCGACGAAGCAAACGAACAATTGTCCCACTGGTGGAATTCGCATCCTTGGCTTTTAGCACAGCGATAATTCTCTTTGTCACTGAATCATGTCTTCAACTTTCTAACTCAAAATTTTTATTTATTATCAACAAGAAGTGCTAAGTTGTTTCAGTTTATTATTTATCAGTTTATTATTTATCAATTTATTACCAACAACAAAAATTATCAAATTTATTTTTGAGATAATAAGAAGGAGTAACGCACCAGGAGTAATGCAAGATAAATGAATACAAGCAGAAAGAGAGGAGCATTAAAAAGAAATGTTTTGGTTCATTCAGTTGCACATATTCCTATTCATCACCACAACTACATCTCGTCAACACGACGGTTGTGGTGTTATTATAAATTATAGAAAAAACTGTTTCTTAAGTGACTGTCAACTGAGAAATAAGCATGAGTGAAGTGTCATTTCTCTCCTGGAATATACCAGAGACCTTTGTGTTCCAGAAAGCGCTGGCTGCGCCATCAAAACGGCTCGTTTACCCGTAAAAGAGCAAATTTTACTGCGTCAGTTTCCGAATTTCCAAGCAGTAAATTTTCTTTCTGAGTATTTAAAACATTGCGGGAAAAAAAAGTGAACGAACGTGATCGGTGGCGGAGTGCTTATTCAGCGAATAAACTGCAAAAGCGATGAATGCCACGCAGGCAGCCAGAAAAAAGCGCAAAAAATAACCCATCGAAAGAGTTTTGTGGCCGTAGCATTCGAGGACATATAACAAGGCACGACACTCTTGGCTGAAAAATCTCTCAGCACTGCATCCTGCAAACTGTTATCAAATATTTCGCAGCAGTGGATTTATCAGGAAGGCGGAAATCACTCGCTCTCGCTACCGTTTGTTACAAAAGAGCATTGGCTTCAACAAATTCATAGGGTGGGAAGGGAGAAGAGAGGAGGGAAGAGGAAGCGAACTGCTCCTGGTTGCCCAGTCCCATTCTTAAAAATGTTTCTACTTCAGGAAAAAGATGGATGACGGTACATCAGTATGGAGCAGGCATGAGTACGCGTTTTATGCATACACTTTTTATCTTCACAACGTCCAGATGTTCTTAATCGGATCTCTTTTCCACAGTCCTGTCTCCCTCCAAAACTTCCTCCTGTACTTCTACAACATCGTTCTCTCCTTCCACAATCCCCTCAACAAGTCTCAACCAGCTTCGCACTCTTGCTCTTTACTGCTGTTTAAAACAGTTTGCAGGATTCCAGAATCAGTTCTGCAGCGGTTGTTAAGCGTATTTGTTTAATCACCATTAGCTGGCAAAAAAACTCAAAGTTATACGGAAAACCATGTATCCGCGACTTCTCCCTGATGCAGAGCAAAAATGCATAAATGATTTTGTACGATAAGACGCAGGGTATTTGCAGTGACACCTCAGTCGACACTGGGTCGAGCTAATACGTGAGGTTTGTTAAATCCTGGCGTCTTGATAAAATCTTGGCGTAGTGATAAATCCTGGCGTTTTGAGAAGCAGCAAGGGGACCTTTCGGCAAATTTTATGGAGATGGACAAACTAATAAACAGAAAAAAAATTTAAATTTCGATTTTTTTTTGAATCCTCAAGTTCTTTTAAGATAAAACTTTTAGGGAGGAAAAATTTGAAATATAAACATTGGGTAATGGATGGTATGCAGCATGGGAACATGGCTGAGAACAGAAAGATGAACATGCAGATAGCGGCCCTCTGAACTGTTCGTCGACGTTGTAATGACGGTGTTGATATCCTGAGTAACATCGCGAAAAATAGCAATGGTGGCTCACAGAGCACGCCCTATTGCACCTACAGGAATCACATTCCTTTGTTTTAAATACAGTTCAGACCAAAAGCGAAGCTGTAGTGATGCTCTTTTTTCCTGGTTCGGTTAAAAATCCTTGTTTTGAGAGACGAAAAATCGGCAACTGAATTGAACAGGCTGCAAAAATTTTATTTTGAGACAGAATTCCCTATCAGATATTATCACCAGAGACGTGAGATTTCTGTAAACTAGTAAACTGCTGAGCACAGGTCACAGTAATGCTTGGTCGCAACAGTTCTTGAAGTAATTGACTGTCCACCCAGAGGCAGAATTCCTACATGATTCCATCTATTCTTTTTTGCTGTTATGCAGTTCAATTGGGTTGAGGTCAGAGTTTGAGAAATAAAACGCAGGCTGGAACGCACCGGT